TCTCCATTTCCTTCGTCCCTCCATTGTCCTTGGCTTCAGGTACTGCTGGAGTGACAACCAGCGGAGCATCAGGGTCCGGCGTGATCTCCGTGACAGCCTTGCGGGAGGTCTTCGGCGGCATTGTGACGAACTTAGAACAATGTAGAGCTTTGAGAGAGTCAGGCTGACCGGATGGTAAGATCCTGTAAACAGGCAGCCGTTTAAGTAGGCAAAGGCTGTTGGACGAGGACCAGCCTTCCAGAAGTTGGTGCTGAGTTTTTTATGTGGAGAAACCGGAGTTGTGAAGTCCCAAGGTCTTGATAAGTTGTAGAAATGTAGGTGTATAGATGCGGTCGAGATAAAAGTTGAAAGAAGTATTGTCCTGCCTTGGGATTAGTAGCTTAACCTGCAGAGCCTCAAGATTAGCAGCATGAAACCTGGAGAAGCCCGAAAGCGAGTCAGATAGTGCAAAAGTTATATCTAATTGCGCGCCGCATTGAGCTGAGTCCAGAAATGCTGGTTTTATAGGCAGTAGCTAAGTGAGCTCTTAAAGCAAACGAGTTAAGCGGTTTGGCAAGATCCATGGCGGCCAGATCCAGATCCAGATCTGGGTAACCCTTGCTGTTGCTGGAGGTGCTGGAGGTACTACTGGAGTTGCTGGCGCTGGAGGTGCTGGAGGTACTGCTGGTGCTGGAGGCAATGGAGCTGGAGGTACTGGAGGTGCTGGAGCTGCCGGAGCAGGTGGTGCTACTGGTGCTGGAGGTGTTGGAGGTACTACTGGAGCTGCTGGCGCTGGAGGTGCTGGAGGTACTGCTGGTGCTGGAGGCACTGGAGCTGCTCGTACTAGAGGTGCTGGAACTGCCGGAGCAGGTGGTGCTGCTGGTACTGGAGGTGCTGGAGGTACTGCTGGTGCTAGAGTTTCGACGCGAACGTCATTACCCCCTCGAAAATTCCATGTGGCACCTATCTGGCCACTTGCAGCGGAAGATTCGCCAGCGTGTGGTGACAGCGAAATGGTGCGCGGGGGGGAATCTCGGCAGATTCGAAGTGAAAGAACCTCGAAATTTCATCGAGAGAGGGATTTTCGCGATATCCTCCCATACTTGCACCTACTCATTAACAAATATAATTAAGAATCTGTAAGAAAAGGGGGGTGTTATAAAAAATCATACAAAAAGGGGGGTATAATAGAAACGAGGTCGCCCATAGCACCCACCCCGCACAAGCTACCTAGGGGTGCTCAACATGGGGGGGGTGTTTTGTCCAAGAGAATACGGTATCAACCTAAAACACGCTGATCACACTGTGTACCTACCGTATCTGTCCCATGGCAACCTTTGGCTGCTTGCTGATATTGAAGTTGCTGAAATTACGATATGTTTCGAAGTACCGTATGGCCCCGGATATAAGCGCATGCCTATTAAAGGCGCATGCGCTTGTATCTGGAGCAATGCGCTTATGGCCGATCCTCAATTATAAGCGCACCCCCTGAGAAATCAGTACTTATTATAAGCGCACCCTTGATGTAAAAATAATATATATATATATATGTATTTTTTAAACAACCTATCCTACATTTTCTAATATTTCCATTAACTAAGACAATCACATCTGCCCTACACACCTTTCAACTTGTCTAATCTACCCTATGGCCTATTCCTCCTCCTCGTCCGACTCAGGCTCCGTGGAGTTGTTGCCCCAGAACCCATCTGCCTGGATGTCGTCGTCCACCTCCACCTCATGGGACAACTGGCCTCTCCGGTGCGCCAACAGCAGTTTGTCTTCGCTCCCGTCAAGGGCGTTGCTGATGCCGCACGTGAGGAAGGCTTTCTTGATCAGGTCGACGGGCACAGCCTTCCACGCCCGTGAAATCCACTTGAACACCACCTCCGGAGGTGGTTTTTTTATGTTCCCTGTATCACACGGAATGGGGCGGGGAAAACATGAGTGCATCAACAGGCATACAAGCACACGAATTGGAGACGGTAGGACATGTCATCACTCACCTGCCAAGGTCAGGATGTTCATGCCGTCCTGCTCAAACCAATTCTGGTACTGCTGACGAACGCTTGCTTTGAAGCTCTTGTTGATCGACACATCGAGCCGCTGCAGGTCTGTCGTGCATCCCACCGGGATGATCGCAGGCACGATGTTGAGCGCCGCGAATCTCGCTTGACTTCGGGTGTCAGGTGACCGCGGTAGGAGTCGAGCACCAGCATGGCGCTATGACTCTGCAGGCCGAATTTCGGCTTCAAGAACGGCACCACGCCCGCATCGAGCCACTCGATGACGCCCGCGGCCTCCATCCACCCGTTCGCTTAGCAGCCGACCACAACATCTGCACGCAGGAGAACGACGGGTTAGAACGACTCCGGTTTAACCGTCAAAACACGCGCAACAACATCTTACCGTTCGGAAAGTCACCCTTGGGGAGTGTCTTGCGCTTGAAAAACACCCACGGCTTCAACTTCTCGCCCGTCTCCGTGCATGCAAGCATCACGTTGACTCTCTCCTTCTGGTACCCACCGCTGCGGATGGGCACCGACCTTACGCCCGTCTGCTCCACGGTGGTCGTCGCCGGCATCTCCAACCACAGCGGTGTTTGGTCGGCGTTGATGATGTAACGGTTGTCAATGACGTATTCATTCCGGGCGTCTCGTACGTACTGCCAAAAGTCTTTGCACTGCTCCTCCACGTCTGCGCACAGGGAGGGAAGGACACATAGTACGCCGGATTAGTATCGCGCACAGGAGACAGGCAACAAAGAAAATAATCAAAATCGGGATTCATCGAAATCAACGGTAAACGAACCACTTACGCTCCTGTGTTTTCTGCGCCACCTTTGTTTTCATGCGCACGCTGAGGTTCCACCGCTTGCGGAAGCGCTCCGTCCACCGCTGACTGCCTTTCCACTTGACGTCAGGGAAGAGCACCTTCATCACTTCTTTGGACCACTCTTGCAGCCGGCCGACCGAAACCGCAACTCCGCGGCGTCGCCAGTCGAGGAGTTGCGCGTACACCTTTAACTCCATAGGTCGGTACCAAGACGACCTCCCGCGCCCGTGAAGCCGAATCCGTGCGCCGTGTGCAGCCTTCAGCGCATCCGCTTGGGATTTCCACTATGTCAGGCATTTTCGGTGTATGCCGGACTCCCGCGCCACTTCGCCCACTGATGCCGCAAGCTCGAGCCGCACGAGCCACCTCAATTTCTCCTGGGCGGTGTAGGACTGCCGCTTATGTTGAGTCTGCTTGTGCCTTGGGGAGGGGGGGCGGGCATCTCGGTTCTCGGAAGACGGGTGGGGGCGTTTTTTGTTAATGGGCGGATACGTCGGTATCGGCATCTTCTCGCGTGGTACGTCGCGCCACCGGGACTCCACACCGTCGTCGTCCTTGGCAGTTGTGTCACGGTCTGGGAACACGTCTTCCTCGTCGCCCGCTGCACCATCGCCTCCAGCTTCGCCGGCGCCGCTGTCATGTTTGTCGGCGGCCACATCATCGTCGGCGCCCAAAGCCGACTCCTCCCACGCGCAGGCTTCTGGTTGTCGCCACCGTGGTGCAGGCGCCGGAGCTTGGATGCGTGCATCGGGGGCCTTGGGTGTGTCCGCTTCAGCCAACCATTCGTCGAACGTAGCTGGTAAATACAGCTGGAGCACGGGCCGTTGGTGAGCACCTGCCGTAACAGACTCAGGCGGATTCGGAGGAGCGGGAGGTGTGGGAGGAGCGGGTGGAGCAGGAGGCGCAGGAGGAGCAGGAGGAGCAGGGGGTGCAAGGGGATCCGGTGGCACTGGAGGCGCTGGTGGCTCACGGGTATACCACCCGTCCTCGGTAAGTCGCCATGTGCGGCGTGGTTTTTCTTGAAGAGGACGTGAGTCCCACTAAATTCCGCCATGGCTTCGCCTGCCATGCGGGCTAGACTGGAAACTGAATGAAAAATTGGAGACGAGGGTGAAGAAATGGGCAACGACGGGGACCCCTGCTGCGTGGCGGCTCGGGTTCCTCGTCGATGACAGGCAGGAAACCCCTGCCTACTCCCGTAGAGGCGCTTGCATGGCAGCATCTACGCTGCGCTGGCAGGGAATCTTGCCGAACCTTCGAGATGGTTCTGCCCGAATGCACATGCCACGCAGCGGATGCGGCTCTGATTGGGCCGCACGGCAACATCCTCGTCACGCTGTCAAATTCGATGGTTCCAGACAACATTGTGCTGTGGGAAACCGAACCGCAGCTGTTTCTGCCTGAAAACCATGCACGATCCCACTTGGTGCATGGTCAGATGAGTTCGCCGTATTGAGAGCTTCACTTTGGTATGTTTAAAAGTGAATTTCATTTTTTCCCTTATACAAGCACATGCGCTTATAAATCTGACTCAATTATAAGCGCACCCCCCCCCCAAAAACACTGTTTTATTATAAGCGCAGGTGCGCTTATATCCGGGGTAATACGGTACAATATTTTTGAGTTCACCTTGTGCACTCAGGGGAAAACAGTGGAAGTATGAATTTCGCACACTGCTGAGGAAATCACACCTTTCATGAAATTGCTTACGATAAATTACACTTACAATACAAAACAACGGCAGTCCTGGAAAGCCGGACCATAGCAATGGCAATCAGAGCATTCTACAACTTGTACCGACGAGGCTCTTGACCAAGTGCTGACACTCCAAGCGTCAGGTCAACGAAACGTTCTACACACCGATGCAAAACAATCTGTTCGGAAGCAGGAAGCCCTCGATGCAATCGCAAGTTGGATTTCCGTTTTTCTCCTTCACGCACTTGCCGTTGGGCCCACAATCCACCGATCATGCTTCTGCACAAAAGAAAGCCACGGCAAAAAGATGGATATCTCACCATAGAAGCAAGATTGAGTACGACATGCATGCAATCCTCCAAGGTTGAGTGGAGGCTACAACACTCAAATGGCAAGAAAGATCTGCTAATAACTCCAGACTCAAACCCAAGCAACTCCCAAAGACAAGTTGAGAACACAACACACAACACACTTGCACTCCTCGAACCCACCAATGCAAGAGAGCTGGTCGGCAGACAACTTGTAGCCGGGGTCGCAGAGACAGTACTCAGTATCCTTAACTTTATCGATCCTGCACGTGCCGCCATACCCACAATAATCCCTATCACAATAGTCTGCAAAGAAAATAATACATAAAAAAAAAAAAAAAAAAAGGGAATGATGACAACCATGAGGTTGCAACCCTCACTGCTGCAGGCTGCAACAAGCGCACATGAAACAAGAGGTAGGCTGCGTGAACCATGACAGTGGTTGCAGATGCATTCATGCACTCCAGCTCTTTCCACCACATGCCCGTGGCAGGAACGGCGGTTCCATTCACACTTGACAGCGCCCAAGCCAGAGCGTGAAGCTGAGCTGAGAAGAGTTCATTGGAACATTCATCGTTGTGGAAACTGAGGTGTGAGCTCACATGCTGTACAAGTCTAGGTAGCATGGAACTCACCCCATTCGGTACAATACGAGATGTCGTCGCCGTTCCTCCTGCACGTCCTGCTGGCCGGACATAAGAAGTTGCATATGTCTGCAGTGGAATGGAGTTGATAAAAGAGAAGGAAACGATTCAGGAGAATGGACTGACTGAAATCCAGGTGGAACACACATGATAGCAGCTCAGCTGAGGAGTTGCCAATCTGAGGAGGCTCCAGAATCCACCAACTCGTGGCCTCGAGGCCAGTCTCGAAGAGAGACCTTTCAACTCACCACTGCAGCGCCCACTCCCATCCACAGTGTAGCCCGCGGGGCAATCGCATTCTGCATGTCCGTTGCCCTCCTCATCAAATCTCTTCACGCACGTGCCTTCACCACAATCCACTGCGTCACAAATGTCTGCAGGAAAGACAACCAAGGCGAGAGAAAGGTTTCCAGCTTAGGAACAAAGTTGATTCTGCTTGCAATCCTTCAAGAGGAGAGGCGGAATCAAGAAAGTGGCAAGAGAAACCCGCTCAGCTACAGACTCAAGCTCACAGCCGAGCAACTCCCAGGGCAGGTGGAGAACGCAACACACAACCGCTTGCACTCCTCCAACCCACCAATGCAAAAGTGCCCCTCAGGAGACAGTCTGTAGCCTGGGCCGCATTCACAAGACGGATTCCCCTTCGTATCCTTCTTGCACGAGCCGGGCTCACAGTAGAAACCAGACACATCACAGTTGTCTGCAACAAAAAGGAAACACATAAAAAAGGAATGACAGGGTGCATACATAGAGGGGAATGATGAGTACTGACAACCATGGAAGCATGACACGCATGAGTTATGACAAGCATGGAATGAGAGGTACGCAACGCGAGCATCATGGTGTCGGAATTAGAAGCTGCCAAGCATTCACGCGGACATTGATGCCGATTCACATTGTCGCTGTCCCACATCTTGGCTGGATGACATTGTGACATGCTACTTGCACCACTTTCTTCTGATGTATTCCCACGCTGGATGACCGGTCAAGTGGAGCAAGTGGGGTGGAAGGCAGTCAACTGAGCTCACCGATGCAAGTGCCATCATACTGCTGCGTGAAGCCGGTGATGCAAGTACATCCCGGATTTCCGTCTGCATCCGTCCTGCACTTGCCGCCGGTCCCACAATCCACTGGTTCACACTTGTCTGCACACATACAAGGAAATGATGAGGTTTGACAACAATTACGTAGTGATGCATCGTGAGTGTCATGCCTGCTGACGGCAGATCGAATCTCCCAAGCATGCACGCGATCAGTGATGTGCTTCTCACGCTTAAGATCATACCGTTAACCCCCCTATAATCACAATGCCACTACCCCCACTTCTTGAATGTGTAGGCCAGCGTAACATGCCACTTCCACCACGCCTTTTTCTTGTTAGATGGACACTTGGGCCAACTGAGCAAGTGCAGCAACTCAACCAGCACGCACAACTCACCAACGCAAGTGTCGTTGCCCGGAAGCCTCCTGAAGCCCTTGATGCACTTGCAAGTTGTATTCCCGTTTGCATCCTTGACGCACGTTGAGTTGGCCTTGCACGTCACAAACTCGCACTTGTCTGCAATGCATGCGGATTAGGGGACGAGCAATGGAGGTGAGATCGAGCAAGATTGGAATGGAGACGGTAGGAGGAGAAAATAACCGCACGTGAGAAATGAGGCACGCAGCATGGGCTAAGAACGGAATCACTCGCTGCAGGTTGAAAGAGGCAGCAAGAGCACAGGAAACACGAGGTAGGCCGAACGAACAAAGGAAGTGTAACAGTGCGTACAGAGTGGACGCATGCATGCACTCCAGGCCCATCCATTAATGACTCGCTCGCTTGCTCCACGTGCCAGTGCGAGCAACTCACCAACACAAGTGATCTTGTTGGGAGGCATCTGGAAGCCAGCGTTGCAAGCACAGGTGGGAGTTCCATTCGCATCCTTGATGCACTTGCCGTTGGGCCCACAATTCACCAAAGAGCATTTGTCTGCAATAGAAGAGAGGGGACATGGAAGCAAGCAAGGACAGGGAGATTGCGATGGATGCATAAGGGGAATGCATAAGAAAGAACGCATTCATTGGTTACAGATTGCACTTGTTTGAACTCACGTGCTGGGGAGTCTCGGTTACACGACACACGCAACTCACCAACGCAGGTGTTGCTGTCAGGAGCATATTGAAAGCCCTTGTTGCACACACAATCCGGGACCATGCTCGCATCCCTCACACAACTCGCGTTGGCCACACAGTACAGATTGCACTTGTCTGAAGTGGAAGGGAGTTGGTGCAGAAGAAGAGGGAAACGGTCACTAGAACATACTGATAGCGTCCAGTGGAACCATGCGCCCATAGCCCCACAATGGGCCAGCTTTGGAAAAGCCAATAGAATCATGCATGCTTCTCTCGACAGAACCGCTCGTAGTTGCGAGCAAGGCATCGGCCCATAATGAGTATTCTGGCGAGCACAGTCCCTTTTGCACCTTGGCAACCACAGCCGTGCACGCGAGCACAGCACGGTACCTTGGCAGGTGCCGTTGATGACAGCATAGCCGTCCTTGCAGCGGCAGGTGGCAGCCCTGCTGTCGATGTCGCTTGTCTCCCAGCACGCGGAGTTGGCGGGGCATGTGGCGTACTTGCACACCGTCGAGGACGCTGCACATTCACATGGCACGAGCACATTCACATTGGACTCTCTCTCTCTCACTGCCAAACCTCGCTGATTCAGAAGCCTTGGGCCAAGTAAAACAGGTTCGATGCACCAAGAGGTGTAAGGCAGCAAGGGGTGAAAGGCAGCAAGGGACGTACGAATTCCGCAGACAACTGACGCGAGTGCTTGGGATGATGTGAAGGTCGCGGTGTTGCTGCTTGGGGGAAGAAGAGAACACAAGGCAAACACACAGCTTTGAGCCATGGCCCCGCCTTCTCTGATCCCATCGGATTTCACCCCGTTCAACCCCACCCATGCCATCCTCTCCCTCCCACCACTCTCCCTAATCCCTTCTCTTTTCCCTCCTCCCATCCCCCACCAGTGCCCTGCCTTGCCCCATCCGCATCGTCCACCCAAATCCACGGCACTGCCTAGCACTGCCGGGCACGTGCACGGACCTGGAGTAGGAGTAGATGTGCTGCATGACAGCGCCGTTGCAGGTGGCACCCGGGAAGAACGACACCCGGGAGCACGGCCCACTCGCCCCGCCCCCCGGCAAGCTGCTGGCGCTCCCCCACTGCACGCTCGCAACCGTGCTCACGCCGGCGGGCGCCGTGCCGTCGGGCACGCGGGAGCAGCGCGAGGAGGGGTCAAAGGAGAAGTTGTAGCGGCCCACTTTCACCGCCGTCGTCACTGCCACCCTCGCCTCCACCTCCGTGGGCCACCCCACACTCGGGTCCACCGGGTCTCCCGCTGATGCCACCGGGGTGATGCCGTGTGACGCGATGCAGGGAGGGCGCGGGCAGAGCAGCACGGGGAGGTGAGGGAGTCAACAGGGTAAGAGAGAGAGGAGGACGTTCGAGGCCTTGGCCGCAGACGAACTCGTCTTGCAAGGAACGTTCACCCCTCTGAGCGAGGGGCAGCTGCACCAGCTGACCGAGTCCCCGTTCGACCACTAAAGTCGAAATGGGGGGGGGGGGGGGAGGATTAGGAGTTTGTCGGTAGGTAGAATGCTGGTCTACTGGTTGGTTGTGTTTGAGTGTGCATCTAATCTGTACGCTTGCTAAATTTAATACAAGGTCCATTCGAGAGAGGAGGACTCGTGGCTCGTGAGGCACGAGGCAGCGAGTGAAGCTGCTCTGGCGGAGGGAGGGCAGCTGTCATACCGTGGCAATGCTGCAACCCTTTGCTGCAACTGTATGCATGCAATGGCCGAAGCTCTCACTGCACCGCTTCTAGATAAGTGCCTTGGGCGTACCCTGCAGCGCAGGCCACGCCTCTGGTGTCCGTGGTTGGCGTGGGGGTGCCATTGGCAGGGCACGTGACGTACAGGCACGCGGATGAGGCATCCGGGATTAGCTCCTCGCTCGATTCGTCACCAAGTCTATTGTGCAACGACAGGCACTCTACTGACAGGGCGTGCACTGGAGGAAGGGCGACACGGAGCGTACCGATGCCGCAGCGAGCCGAAACTGGATACGGATAGGGGAGACTGGAATTGGTGGTGCTGGTGGTCAGGCTGTAGAGGGGAGGGGAGGCACAGGAAGCACGCGAGAAATATTTTTTTTTGGTTAAGCCACCATGGAAGAATCTAAGCTGCCTTGTTAAAGCTTAAATCGCATACCGTTTAATGATACGATTCCAGGCAACCAGTTTTGATTCGACGGCACTGTATCCTACCCCACCCCGTGGCACAGGCGCGACGCTGACCTTGCGGGCTTAAGGGAGAGCGAGGAGGTGCCACTGCAACCCGCGCCGCTCCAGAAGGTGATGTTGGTGCACGCGGGGAGACTGGGCGCGGCAGCGGACGTCCACTGCACGGAGACGCTGTAAGCGGTGCGCGGCAGGTTGGTGCAGCGCGCCGCGGAGAAGTTGGAGGCGAAGGTGCTCGCCGGAGACGTGACCGTGATCCGCGTCGCCACCGGCGCCAGCGGCGCGGGCATTGGATACATGATTTGACCGGACGCCCCGCGGATGACGTCACTCGCTGTAGCGGAGGGCAAGAAAGGACGAGATGGGAGCAGAGAAGGGCGGTGAGAGCCCGGATGCCGCTATCGAGCATGTCGAAAAAGCGCGGAGAAAGCGCGGCTGCGGACACACCACCAGTGCACGCGAAGTGTGAAAGCGAAATATGGTGGGCAATACGAACAAAAGAAACAAGGGACGGACGAACGCACACCGGCATGAGCATACAGAAAGGACACGCGGCACGGGTGGTGGACTGACCGAGAATAAGGGCGAGCGCGAGCAGCGCGAGCAGCGCAGGATAGCCGCCCATCGTGGCGAGCGGAGCGGAAACCCGATCGGCGCAGCGGAGAGGCGCGGCGGAGAGGCGCAGCGCAGGTGACGGTAGCGATCGTGGATGGCAGTGGTTGGCGAGATATGGGAGGAGACTCGCCGACGATGGTTGGGCAGAATGAGGGGCGGCGAGATAGTATCGCAGAGAGAGCGACGGCGAGATGGCACAACAGGGGGTTATGGCACAGAAGCGGCACTTCACGAGGCTCCATGGCTGCTGTGGGCTGGCTACTTGAAGTGCGAGCTCGACGCTACCACGCCGCTGCGAGGCGAGCAAGGTTGTGGAACGCGGTAGTGTGGTGGGGGGGCGAGGTCGCTAAGGGAGCGGGGAGTGCGGTGGGGGAGGGTGAAACGGATGGGAATTGATGAAACGCGATCAGTTGTTGTTGGAGGAAGAGGGCGCGTTCAACAGGGTTGATTCACAAAATCTAGTGTTGAAAGCGATCGACTCGTCGGATGACAAGGCAGAGGGGTTGGGGCAGAAGAAGTATGCGGTGAATCATGTTCAAAAGCTGGGGGGTCAGTACGCAGGGTCAGCACAACTGTAGGTCGTTCATAAACCCGATTATGAAAGTCCGGGTTTGCTTAACTAGGTGGATACGCCCCTTCTCTTGTGGGTCGAATGCGAAGCAGAAACGCGTCACACGGTATGTACACGAGTTGTACTTGATGATATAATATTTCCTCGAAATATGTAAGCAATTGATTAAAAATATACATGAGTACAGCAATTGTTGATTAATCAGGGGAGAAACTCCAAACGAAAAGAATCCTTAATGGTAAATTTTCACCTAAGGATAGTTAAAATGGTGAATGAATGGCCTGGTCACGAACCAATAGAATTTATGGCGCATTCCTAAGCTCGAATCATCCGGTCTTGGCGTCAACCTAGAACCTTGGAACTTACCGTATGGCCCCGGATATAGGCGCCGTCCAATTAAAGGCGCGGCGCCTCTATCTGGAGCATGGCGCTGTCAAGAATGAAAGTGTGTGTTCATTGATGTGGGTTGGGGTACATATAACAAACCCTAACATCTGTACCCCCTAAGACAAACCTCACTAAGGCTACAACATTTGACACACCCCCATAGCCTAAGTGAGGGGTGTCTAGCAAAACCAAAAGTGTACGGTCACAAGACCAGTCACAAAGATACAAAGCTCAGGGTGGATCACAACGTCACCACACATTCTGAGCACAAGCAACAGTGGCCACAAGACCAGTCCAAGAGTTCACAAGTGTGTATAGCAAGAGTACAAGCAAAGCAAACAGTAAACTCAAGCCTATACACGACTAGAACCTGTGTCAACAAGGCCTAACTGCACACAACACCTCTGGTGGTCACAAGGCGGAAGTGCCTTGGTGAAGATGTCTGCAGTGTTGGCCTCGGACTCCACAAACTCGAAGCGAGCCTGTCCACGCCTCTGCAACTCTCGCAGAAGGAAGTACCTGACGTGAATGTGCTTCACTCTGCTCTCCAGTCGTGGCTCACGACAGAGGAGAATCGACGCCTTGTTGTCAGTGAACAAGGTCGGTGCAGAGCTCGGCCGCTCACCAAGGTCAGCGAGCAAAAACGTCAACCAACGCAGCTCCTGTGCCGCCATGGCACCAGCGTAGATCTCAGCCTCAGCTGTAGAGGTCGAGACCGAAGAGGAGCGCGTGGACCGCCACGAAACAGCTCCAGAACCCAAGCTGAAACAGTACCCCTGAGTAGACCTGTGAGTCTCAGCGTCGTCAGCGTAAGAAGAGTCACAGTGACCAGTAAGTACGACAGGCTGCTGCCCTCCAAGAACTAGCCCCACGCCTGATGTCGTCGCTAGGTACTTCGCCACCCTCACAGCTGCCGTCCAGTGAACAGGACGGTGCCTCCCTGGCGCAACAAAGCGAGCAAGGACGCTGAGAGGGAAGGCGAGGTCCGGGCGAGTACAAGTCATCAGGTACATGAGGCAGCCCACTAGCTCTGCGTAGGGACCACTGGACTCAAACGGCTCATCAGGAAAGGGTCCAGTGAGTCTGTGGTCAACAGCAAGAGGTGTGCGCTGTACTGTGGAGTGCTGAAGCTTGAACCGCTGAAGGACCTGCTGCACCATGTGTGACTGTGAGAGTGTAATGGTGCGAGCAGCTCTGTCCCTGGTGATCTGCAGGCCAAGGTAGTGGCACAGCTCACCAAGGTAAGTGCACGTGTGTCTCTTCTGCAGTTCGGACTTCACGTCTGCCAAGGCAACCCTGTCAGCAGTGGCGAAAACCAGGTCGTCGACGTAGACCAGAACAAAGAACGGTGTAGAGCCACGACGAACGAACAGCGACGGGTCGGCAGAAGACGGCTGGAACCCAAGGTCAGAGAGGGTAGAACGAAGAGTGTCGTGCCACTCACGAGGAGCCTGACGGAGACCGTAGACAGGTCGCCTCAGCCTCCACTGGGTCCCAGGAGGGAAAGTGCCAGTGAAGGCAGAGGGACGACGCAGCCAGACCTCCTCGTGTAGGCTACCCTGAAGAAACGCAGTAGAGAAGTCGAGAGAGTGTAACTCGTAGTCTCTCTGTGCCGCTACGTGCAGTAACACCCGAAGAGTGGTCATCTTCAGGGTGGGCGCGAAGGTCTGAAAGAAGTCAACTCCCTCGCGCTGACTGAAACCTCTAGCCACGTAGCGCGCCTTGAAGACCGGAGGAGATCCCGGTGGCCGCTTCACCCTGTAGATCCACATGCCATCGACTACGTTCGCCCCAGGGGGGAGGACCTCGTCGACGTAGGTGCCTGTGGATCTGTAGGAGGCCATCTCTGCGTCCATGGCAGCTCTCCACTGAGAGGCCCAAGGCCCTGACACTGCCTCAGCCTAAGTGCGAGGAGTCGGTATGTCAAGGGCGTCGGGGTCTCCCTCAGGGGCGAGCAGCATGGCACAGAGATGAGGGGAAGCGGCTGCCAGGAACTCTAGCTCAAACTGCCTGTCCTCTAGGGCGTCACAGCCAAGGGAAGACACACCCCCGACGGCCAGAGGACTGGAAGGAGGAGCAGCCACAAGACTGGTGGCGAAGTCAAGGCGGCGAGCAGAGGCAAACTCAGTGACTGCGGCAGTAAGAGCGGAGACAGAGAACACAGAGGCACGAGGGTGGGTAACAAGAGAGGCGAGAACACGAGAGAGAACAGGACGGTACGTGCGGTAGTAGTCAGTGACAGGAGTAGAAAGCGAAGCAGTGAGGGCCGACTCAGGAGGAGACGGAAGCACAGACGGAGACGGACGAGGCGGACTAGAACGAAGTAAGGCAGTACGAAGGTCAGGGAAGGGAACAGGGGACGAGGGACGAGCACGAGGGGAGCGACGAGAGGCCCAGGTCTGAGAAGGAGGAGGGGACAGCGAAGACTGAGAACGAGGGAAAACAGCTGGAGAGGGGTCAGGAGGAGGAAGCGGAGGACCCGAGACGGGAGGAGAGGGGGAGGAGGAAGGAGAGCGGGAGGGGAGACCGAGGGCCCGAAGACCGGAGACAGGAGGAGGAGGAGGCGGCGGCTGCTGCTGCTGCTGCTGCGGCGGCGGCTGCTGCTGCCGCGGCGGCTGCTGCTGCTCCTCATGCTGCTGTAGCGGCTCTAACTCCTGCGCCTCCTGCTGCTGCGGATGCTGCTGCTGCTGCCCACCAGGGCCAGTGTGAAGTGTGTAGAGACCAGAGCCCGGCTCGGCAGTAAAGGTGGCAAGAGGCGAGTAAGTGTCGCCGTCAACACAAACCGCCGTCTCACCAGAGGGCTCAATCCACCCACCCACGTGCTGACTCACAAGAGGCCTCACGCCCACCAAGTTCCTCGAGAACGAGGGGACGTGGAAGCCAGTCAGAGACCCAGAGGGAACAGCAGGGCAAGGAAGAGTAGTAGTGTAGCGAGCAGTGACTGGTCCCGAGGTGGGATCAGCCAGGGCCACAGAGACTGGCGCAGGAAGTGGAGTAAGTGTCGTGTGGTCGCGGAAGAAGCAGTGCGAAGCCCCAGAGTCCAGAGTGAAAGACAGCGAAGCGTCCTCCGAAGTAGCGCCTGGACTAGTGTCTACACAAGTGCCTACACTAGCAACAGGCAACTCAGCAAGACTAGCACCTAAGCTTACAACACTCGAGTAAACAGAGTCAGAAGCACTAGAGTCAACAACAGCATACATAGCATGAGGAGTTCCTAAGAGATCAAGCAACTGAGAAGCAGACATGCCCCAAAGAGCGGAGCCATACGTCTGAACAAGAGGTAACCAATCAGGGGCAGGGCCGCCAACGCCGAAGGCCAAGCGAACCGTGTCAGTGAGCTGAGCAAAGCACTGACCAGGAGGGTGGGTGCGGCCACAAGGTTGGCCTCGGCGAGCACCTGTCAGAACCTGATAGGTGCATGAAGGGTGAACAACACCTCGCTGAGGCTGACACTGTCCTGGCCCCGAAACCTGCTGCTGCCGTTGCTGCTGCGGGGGCTGCTGCAAGGGGAGGGGCTGCTGCTGCTGCCGCTGGGCCAGGTACCACGCCGCTGCTCCACCCGCCGCGGCCGGCAGACCAGAAGGTGGCTGACGAGCCCGGGCGTCGCCTCCACCGGCTGCAGTAGTGGAGTCACCGGCCGCTGCACGCGACGCCTCTCCTGGTCCTGCACTCCTGCCACCACCAGTCGGCACGCCACCCCCACCACCTCCACCGCCAACGCCTCCACTGCCGCCGCCACCTGTACCCTGACCGCCCCTCTTGCCACCTCTACCTCGAGACCGCGAAGAAGTCGTAACAGCAGCTGCGGTCACGTCAGTAGCAGCAGTGGTGAGAGAGGCTGTAAAGGTGGGCAGCTGAGGGACAGTGCACCCGTGGAACAGTGGAGGGGGCACAGCACCAGAGGCGGAGGCTACAGAGTGGAGGTTGCTCTCAACGTCCTTGAGCGCAGACTCAAGGACCTCGATAGTGAGCTCACTAGGGTGCTTCAGAAGAAGCGTGTCACGAACCGAGGCAAGGCGGTCAGGGAGGCTAGTGGCAATGAAGTAGATAGT